GGGGGGATGGTTTGTAGTGGGGATAAAATTTGCTGCGAAACAGATAATAATAATCATAATAATAATAATAATAATCGTTCGATCTGGATTATCTTGCGTTCATGATCGTCGGAAGACAAAATCGTAATCGTAAATAAAATTAGATTCATCGCTCAGACCCGGTTTCTTGTGTGTTGCACATGTGAACACCAAACTGAACATTTTTTATAAAGAATAATCAATTAATTATTTGCTGCTTTTCTCCAGTTTCATTAACAATAAACAGAATAATTTAGTGTTTTTTGGAGCCTGGAGCTCTTTGACATTTTTCCTGATTTTCCGACTCGTAAATCACGTCAAAGATCATGTTGAGTGTTTGTGGTATTTCCGTTTGAGTTGCGTTTCTTATAAACAGCTGTTTATAGAGTCCAGATGCTGCTTTGTGTTTCTGTGGGAACTTGTTGCTAAAGTCAAGCGGGTGAAGAAGTCTGAGTGTTCGGCCTGATGAGCATCTGTTTACATACAACAACATGGAGGCTGGACCGAGGCTGTAAAATGGATTTACTCTGTGTGTATGTGGTCGCTAGGCAACGTCCACACACACATACATACACACTGCCTGCAGCTGAGGAGGCAGATGATTACACACACACACACACACACACACACACACACACACACACAGACGCACACGCACACACACACACACATATAATTCACCCCTCTATGCCCCATTTGCTGCTTTGTATAAGGTCCTGCCAGCAATGACACACACACAGCTGTTCCTCTCCAGCCATCGAGAGCAGGTGGTATCCAGGACACACACACACACACACACACACACACACACACACTGCAGCAGCAGCTTCCCTCTCTCTGGTTGAGTTTAATTAGATGAGGTTTGATTTTCTCATCAGTCCAACTGTGAAAATCGTCTCTCTGCTCTCTCTGCTCGAGGCAGAGCTTTACTTGCTGAAGTACCTTTTTAGCAAGGTACCAAAATCTCTGCCGTCCTTACTCCAGCTCCTGTTTGCTTCTGCCGTGACCTCTGACCTCCCTGCGCAGTGTGAAGGCAGAGAGGACGCAGGACGAGAGCCGACGTCGCTGACAGCGAAGCGTCTGGCCTCTGCGCTCGCTCGCTCCGCTCACATGACAGCAGCTGGAGTCAGATGATTCATCAGGGAAGGAGCGGGCCAGATGTGGTTTGGCTTCAGTCAGTTGACACGTCAGACACAGAGCTGTGGAGGAGGAGGAGGAGGAGGAGGAGGAGGAGGGCTCCACTCAATCTGCTTCCTTTAAATTCAGTTTGTGCAGCAATGCAGCAGTTAGCTCATCGGCTCAGAGGGATTACTGCCCCAGTGATGATCCTGACTCTGCCTCTGATCATGTGTCGTGATCCTCGGTATCAGGATCCGTGACTTTGACACATCGATCACTTCTGCATTAGAGGTGTTTTACACCTGTGGTAAACTTATCCAAACCCACTGTGCATGAATCAACCTGCCTCCTTCACTCAGACTAGTTCCAGGTTACATCCCTGTTTATCCAGAGTCGTATGAAATATTAACAGCTTGTGTGAAGTCTTGTCACAAATGCAGTGTTAAGTCTTGAATAATGGCTAAAAATACCTTGACCTTTGACGCCCCCCCCATCCAGCACCCCTTGGATGAGCTGTAAGCCAGGCCTTATCAGCCAGCATCAGTGCTGCCACCTCGCTCATAAAGCCCCTGGTGTGAATGGGAGTAAATCCCTGCAGCAGGTTGAGAGGAGGCTGTTAGAGCAGCAGGTTAAAGCTGAAGTAACATGTCCAGCTTCTGTTTTTGCTTCGGTTTAATCAGCTCTGACATGACGGTGTCTGCACGTCTTACAGTTAATTTAACTCCCTCAAACAGAAAAGGTTGTCGTGTAACTTTTACCTGTTTGGAGAAGCTCACCTTTAAAAGGTGAATTTAAGAAAATAATGTAGAAAGAGAGAAAATGACCTGAGACCTCGGAGGGTCGAAAAATGTCGAGGTTTTAAAAACACGCATATTAATTTCGGTGTAAAAAGATTATAACAGACCGTGGTGTTTGTTTCCCATCATCCTTTGACCGGTTTTGAAATTCATTCTATGTGGAATTAAAAAGTCTTTATTTAATTCAGTGAATCCAGACTAAAGCGCGGTGCCCTAACTTCTCAGTTTAAGTAGATTACAGTAAAATATAAGCGTTAACCTTCTGGCTGAAGTTCCAAAATGTAAACTGAAATAAAAACTGTGATTTAAAAACTTGTTTGTTCCAGACTTTACATGATCTCAGAGCTCTTTACAGTTGACATATGGTTTACATTATTCTAAATGTGGGATGGACTGTGGAAGTATTCCAGTGCAGTGTTAAATACCTCCAGGATCGTTTCATTGGTTTTTATTGTTAAATGAACTTTGTCTTTTTAAAGTTTGTTTTGTCTTCAGTGATCATAAATGACACAGAGCAGTTTTCATGGTGCAGTTAAACTTGGAAATCACTGGATCAGTCACATGATTTCATACATGTGACCGTCAGCTCGTAGCGGAGCTGATGTCACAGAGGAGACTCTGTCGCCCCCTGCTGGTGACGCTCACACACCAGCTTATAAAAGGCTTGTTGTCCTGTTGACCCACAGCTGCCCTGTTCCTGTGAATGAACTGTTTATTGTGCAGGACGGACACACACACACACACACACACACACACAAACGTTCACATTCATTAGGCAGCTAGAACATGTACACACACACACACACACACACACACACACACACACACACACTCGGAAGCAAAGTTCACACTACATATTTGTCAGCTTTAATGTTGTATGTGAAAGTGTGAGTACACACACACACACACACACACAAATACACACACACACACACACACACACACACACACACACACACACACTAACACACAGATTTATTCAGACTCTGATTCAACATCTTCCCACTGAGCTGAAGCTGATGAACAATCACTTTGTTTGTGTGTGTGTGTGTGTGTGTGTGTGTGTGTGTGTGTGTGTGTGTGTGTGTGTGTGTGGGTCTAGTTTGGTATATAACATCTCTGTTCTCAGTATTTACGTAACGTAAACATGTTATGACAAACATGTTTTGTAGCTAAACTTTATCGACAAAGACGACAGCAACAGAACATTATGAAGAATTAAATTGTTTTAACAGCTCTGGACAAAATCTTATCACAAGATCCCTTCAGTAGCTGTTGGTGCTTTCGATCATATCACATGATCTTCCTCTGCCCGGTTGTCATGGAATTGTAGACGTTTAAAATTTCCAAGTTTAAGACCCTGTACACTTTTTAAAAAAGAGTTGTTGAAGGTCGAGAGTGAAAGTTCATTCTTCTTCAGCGGTTTTTTCAAAACAGCCTCACCATGAAATTCAAACATCTACGTTTCCATGGCAACTGAACAAAGAAAGAGCCTTTGGTGAGTTGTTTTGGTCAAATATATGAAATTTAGTTTTAAATTAGAGTCTAATATCCAATATAAAATCATTTTTTTAACATATCTGCCGGTACATGTGCTGGCAGAGATATGTCTGTATAATACTGTTGATGGTTCATTCAGATATTCAGAGGAAACGCTTGTTTTGTAAACGGCTAATTAAGAGGCTTTGACATGCTGCTAATGGCTAAGAGCTGTTAGCTGTTGGATGCTAATTTTGTTTTTGTTCTACTTTGTTTAGTGTCCACAGGAGGAGCAGGTGAACGACTCGGGTATGTCCTCGTGTCCTCAGCGCCCCCCGGCTGCAGGGAGGAGGAAGAACCTGGAGTTTGAACCTCTTTCCACCACAGCGCTCATCCTGGAGGACCGGCCAGCGTGAGTCAGACACTCACCTGGACCCGAGACACTCACCTGTCGTCGGTCCAGACTGAGGAATTTAGGATTTATAGTGGTTTCATTTTCACGTTAGATTTTATTGACACTCAGGAACCTGGACTCATAAAATGTTTTAATTAGGATACAAACTAATATCAACAAATATGTGTCTTCCTGGTTTTAGCTACTGTCATTATTATTGCTAATGCCACCTTTCTACAAAATCCATTTTAGACATTTATTATACATTTATCTATTATTCTATTCACATATGCAGCTATATTTTAGGAACTACCTTTACTGAACCCTCTTCAGTAAAGGTATTTTTTCACAAGAGATGTGAAGGACTTGGGTCAGATCACCTCTTTAGGGACGGGGTTAGGGTTAGAGACAACAGTGGAGCTCAGTGTGGACAGAGCTGAGATTGTTCTGAAGATTTTGATATAAAACACTTGGGTATTAAATGTTATGTTATATGTAAGTACATCTAAAAAGTGGATTTAATAAATGATGTAAAAATCAAGAAAAAACCTCAGAGGGTAAATATATACACTGTGTCGTGAACACACTCTGTGCAGTGGTGGAAACATCTGCGCTACATATTTAGACTATTACAGCTTTCAGTTTTAAGAGTGGTGATCTTCACATTGGTACTCAGTAGTTGCCTAGCAACAGTGAGCATCTGTTGAGAGCTGCAGGGTAGAGACAGAGACGCAGTGGCTGAACACCTGACAGGTGACTCTCTGTCTGTCCGTCCCTCAGGAACCTACCTGCCAAATCTGAGGAGGAAACTCAGAGACACAAACAGGAGTACGAGGAGATGGTGGCAGGAGCCAAGAGGAGAGGTACACACACACACACACACACACACACACACACACACACACACACACTGTCTGACATTTCCAGCAAAAATAATCAGTCAGTAAACGCATCACGTGGAGCTTAGAAGGAGTAAAATAAAACCTCTGAATTATCTTATACTGAATAAATTGTATTTCCAATGTATTTCCCAGCATTCAATAGTGTTTTAAACCATTCCTCGTCGGCGAGATACTTAAACTTCGGTGCAGAAACGTCCTCAGCACACTGGTTTCAAGCTCACACTGGTCCTCACAGAGACAGTAAAACAGGCCCCGCCCACACAGTGTGAATCTGAAGAGCCGCCGGCAAAAGATTTTCTCGGCACAGTTCTCGAAACAGTTTCTACTGGTTGGAAACATTTTTCAGGTTCTGTTGCGGAGCCGTGGTTCTGCCTCGCTCTGATTGGCTGCGGCTCAGACAGGTATTCAGGTGTCGGTGTGAATCTGCGTCTCTCCCCTCAGAGCTGAAAGAAGCGCAGAAGAAGAAGCGTCAGATGAAGGAGAGACACAGACAGGAGGACAGCATCTCCAACGCCATGGTCGTCTGGAACACCGAGATCCTGCCGCACTGGGACACCATGTACGTCTCCACAGCTGTGTGTGTGTGTGTGTGTGTGTCGTATACGCTGTGTGTGTGTGTGTGTGTTGTCGTGTGTGTGAACACACAACCTGTGTGTCAGAACACACGCAGAAATGAACTAGTACAGCAACCTATGACCGTCCAAGCGCGCTATTCGCACACGGCCGACGCCTGACTGATGCAAGGTACGCACCTGTGTGTGATCGAAACCGACCGTGTGTACGTTGTATCATTGAGTGTGTGTGTGTGTGTGTGTGTGTGTGCAGCATGTTAATGTAGCTCACTGTGTGTGTGTGTGTGTGTGTGTGCAGGAAGGGAACGAGGCGCGTCAGGGAGCTGTGGTGGCAGGGACTTCCTCCCAGTGTCAGAGGACGAGTGTGGAGCCTCGCCATCGGCAACGAGCTCAACATCACACCAGGTACAAAGTGATGCAACAACACACACTTTCACACACCGTCCTGCTGCCCCAAATACTCACTGCAACACCTAATGTGGATTAATCCGCCGCTGAAAATAGTCCCCAACAAATGCAGTCTGTCCGTCCCATTCTGTTGGACACGATGTCTCAGTAACACCTCGAGGGAACTTCTTCAAATTTGGCACAAACATTCACTAGGACTCAAGGAAGAACTGATTAGTTTTTGGTCGTCAAAGGTCAAAGGTCAAGGTCCCGGTGACCTCACAAAACACAATTTTGGCCTTGTGAACGCAATATCTCATTAATGCCTTGAGTGAGTTTCTTCAAATTTGGTAAAATCATTTGGCACAAATGTTCACTTGGACTGAAGGATGAACTGATTAGATTTTGGGGGTCAAAGGTCAAAGGTCACTCAAGACCTTGCAGAAATTATGACAGAATTTCACACAAATGGATAAACAGGGATGTAACCTGGAACTAGTCTGAGTGGCGGAGGGATACGACCACGAGGAGGTGATTCTGGTTTCATTAAAACTGCAGTGAACAGCTGCTTTAGTCCTGAGCCTATTTTAATGAAACTATATTTGTACTGTGTATGTGTTTTTAAAGATTTAGAATCCTTAGGATGAGTTTCTGGCACTTCTGATCTTTTTCTGTGTCAAAACCTTAAAACCATTAAAACTTTATGCGTGTGCTCGTTTTTGTTGCAGAGTGTTTTTGAGTTTTCTTCAGTCTCGATGTGTTTGTGTGTTTGTGCAGAGCTGTACGAGATCTTCCTGTCCAGAGCCAAAGAGAAGTGGAGGAGTTACAGTGAAACCAGTTCAGTCAACGACAATGAGAGCGGTACGACACAGCACTGCTGGGATCTCTGGCACCTCTGATACATGAACGAGCCTCTACTGTCAAACTGTACCTTGAAATAAAACTTGAAGCTGAACTGAAATAACTTTCCTCTTTAGATGGAGGAGCGTCTTTGGCCGACAGAGAGTCCAGTCTGGACCTCATCAAACTGGACATTTCCAGAACCTTCCCGTCTCTCTTCATCTTCCAGAAGGTAACAGATGTGTGACAGATGTGTTAGAACAGTTTGACTGGTTCTTACCTCTTGTTACGGTTCAGTTTACAACTGGGTTTAAGGTTAAGATCAGGGTGAGACAGGCTGCAGGTAATATTTCCTGATCCCTTTCTTTCCTTTTCATTTTTAAGACTAATCTGAAAACCTTGAATCTGTTCCATGTCTGTCTCAGACCATGAGATCGTTAACGCATCACATTTGTTTCTATGTTGTGTGTTTTTCCTCGTATATTATTGCGCAGGTCTTTGGTCAACCCTGGTTGTTTTAGTTTTTTTATCTCATTTTCATCTACAGCACCTCCAGCTTCACTCTAACTTTGTACCTCCTCCTCCTCCCTTCTCTCTGCAGGGTGGTCCTTACCACGACCTCCTCCACAGTGTACTGGGGGCTTACACCTGCTACAGACCTGACATTGGATATGTAAGTTTGTTTTCTTACACTCCCAAAGTGATAATAGTCTGTATTAGATTTCAAATTATGACATTTATCTTGAAAAATCACCTTGAAAATTTTTTTTTTTTTACTTGCCAAAATAAATCAAAATGTTCAAATGTTAAATGCAACTTTGCTTAAATAAAAAAGTCTAAAACTAATTAACAAAGATTATGAATCTGACCAGACATTCGATGCTGACTTTAATAGAGTAATTAGGTTTGATACGGTCTCTGGCGCTGATCTGGCGTCTGTTGTTTGTGCTCCTTCAGGTCCAGGGAATGTCGTTCATTGCTGCTGTGCTGATCCTCAACCTGGAGGAGGCCGAAGCCTTCATCACCTTCGCCAACCTGCTCAACAAACCCTGTCAGATGGCCTTCTTCAGAGTCGACCACGAGCTGGTACAAACACAGACACACAACAGCTGTTATTCATGTTGCTCCTCCTGCTGTGTTCAGTCTGGGGAACTTCTCCCACCTGATCTTTACTTCTCACCCCCTCCTCTTCCTCTCTTCGCTCCGTCTGTGGCAGATGTTGAAGTATTTTGCCGCCTTTGAGGTTTTCTTTGAGGAGAATCTTCCTCGACTCTTCAGCCACTTCCAGACCAACAACCTGACCCCTGACCTCTATCTGATCGACTGGTGAGTCATCAGAGACTCCACTGTCACTGTCCATGTCATCAGATGGAGCCATTAAATATTATGATGCATGAAATTAGAAAAGTCTTTCCAAAGTTTTTCTTAAAATGAGCAAAATTGAAATAATTAGTAAACGTGAAGGAAACAAAGTGATGTTAAGACTGCGGGAACAAACAAACTAAATCACTAAAAAGACGAGACCCATCTTGTTTAAGATCAATGTGCATGAAGAAACTGTAAATAGGCGGACATGAATACAAACAAAGTGAATGATAAACACTATTAGAGTCAAACAGACAGTAGGTAAAAGTCCTGCAGTTAAAGATTTAGTAAAAATACAGGAAGTATCAACATTAAATTATAATTAAAGTGCTTAAAGTAAAAGTACTCGTTATGCAGAGTGGTCCATTTCTGAATAACATATATTATAATTATAATTAATGATGTATTAATGTGTAAATCATTGCTGTTGCTGAATGTGGGGAAATTTAATGACTTTATATACTGCTGGGAAGCTCAGAGGATCAATAAAGCTTTATCTTAATCTATAGTAATACATTATGATTTATCTGTTATTCTGAAGGATTAAGATAAGATCAGATATTCCTTTATTAGTCTCACAGTGGGGAGATGTGCAGAGTTACAGCAGCAAAGTGAACAAAGAAAGAAAAAATGCAAAATGACAATATCAAGTACTTTAAAAAATACATATAATATAATAATATGTACAATTAAATGCGTAAATATAACAAGAAACAAAACATAGCAGCAGATAAGTGACAGTGCACATGGTGAATTGTCTCTACTGATATACTGCAGTATTTGTTCCAGAAATATCTTTCTTTCTGCAGCACGTTCACTTATAAAATGTTTATAAAATAATATTTATAAACATAAATTTAATATAATTTATAGGTGATTATCATTAAATAAATTTTCAGTGATGCATTTCATTTATTTCTGCCTGAGAATCCACATTAAAAGCAGTTTTTATATATCGATCGATTTTAAATCTGACAGCTTCAGTGAAACCAGAAGCCTGATCGGCCATTACAGATCAATAATGATGCACCTTTAATGGATGTTTTTCATTCAGTTATTTAAATATGTTGTAACCGTGTGTTTTGTCCCGTCTGTCCAGGATCTTCACTCTCTACAGTAAGTCCCTCCCCCTCGACGTGGCGTGCCGGGTGTGGGACGTCTTCTGTCGGGACGGGGAGGAGAGCTTGTTTCGGACGGGGCTGGGTATCCTGCGCCTGTTCGAGGACGTCCTGCTGCAGATGGACTTCATCCACATCGCTCAGTTCCTCACCCGCCTGCCGGAGGACCTGCAGTCGCACACGCTGTTCGCCGCCATGGCCAACACACACATGATCAGCAGAAACCGCCGCTGGGCTCAGGTCAGTCAGTGGGGATCCTGGACTTATTGAAGCCAAACATGCAGACTATTGGCAGACGCTACAATTTACAGATGTTCCCTGAATGCCTCACATGCAGGCAATGGGTAGAAGCTACACCGCACACCATCAGGAGCCCAATTAGGGGGTTTTGGGGCAGAAGCAGTGTTTGTAGTTGTCATTGCAATATGTGCCAATATGAGGGGCCGTCAGGGACCCATTTTCCTCTTGGGGGGGCCTCAAGCATTTGCCTGGTTTGCCTCTCCGGACGCTGTGTTTTAACGGTTCATTTCCTGTTTACTCTCAGGTGTTTTCTGCTCTGATGAAGGATGGAAACAAAGAGACGGACAAAAACACCAGCCCGGCTCTGAGAAGCTAACACTAGCTAACGTCGACGCTAACGCCATCTATCTTCAAACGCTAGCTGTGGCGGTTGGAGCTCGCGCCGGCCGGACATGAACTTCAGAGGTGGATGCTAGCTCTCCCTCCCCTCCCCCTCCCGTCAGCGCTGACACTGATGCTAACGTCAGCGGCTAACCTGTGAGGCTTGAAGCTACGTAGCCTGAAGCTAAAGTCTCGCTCCGGGCTGCTTCGCTACGGAGCTTGAAGCGAGCACAAGCCGAGATGACGTGAAGGCGGAGGCTCGAACAGCAACGAGAGGAGCCGTTAGCTCGCGCGTCCAGGAGGAAACGGCTCCGGCGTCGCCTGGAATCTGTGCTGGGACCAGTGGGAGCGGGAAAAACCAAAGTGGTCGGTCAGTTGTAAACCTCTACAGCCGCTGTCAGTATTTAACCTGATGGATTATGTTTTGGAGAAGAACAGTAGTGTCACTAATTAAAACTGACTCAGTGTAATGTGTTGCGCCCCCTGCCGGCTGGGAGGACAAACTCCACGCTGCGACACAAACACCACTAACACCGAGTGTTACGCCCTTCGTAATTCTCAAAGACTCCAGTTCTAATTTTCGGTGCTAATAATTTTCTAAAGGCTTCAAAAAGAAAAAAGGTAAAACCTCCTCTGTGGATTAATTACTAATTAACGTGGGTCCTTGTGGTTTTGATCTCACACTATGATTCATTTGCTGCGTTTTAGCTTGAACCGGTCTGGATCTAAACACGGTGGGAACCTGCAGTGGCATGGCTGATGCTGATTATTGGTTGTAGATGATTAATTAGTCTCATAGCTTTTTCAAATTTAATCTGTTGGCAAAAAACAAAACAAACTCTGAACATGGGAAGTTTGGGTGCAGCAGTCGTCTTTCTAATCAATAGTAAGGAATCAAATTACACATCTCATCATTGATCCTAATCAAACTATGACTAAATATTTTGTGACTGATGTTTTTGAGTCTTTTCTACTTGTGTTTAATAATTTGAAAGTTAAAAATCAAACTGTGAGGGAGGGACACAGTCACAAGTTTAGGTCAAAATGATCCATAAAGATCACGACGAACCACGTCGAAGCGCAGTGAGCCGACAGGAAGTGAGGACGCAGGGATGTGGGGCCGTCGCAGTGTTCGAAGGATCCAGATTCACCCTCAGCACTTTATCTCTGCAGCATCATCAGGAACTCTTTGAAAAAACAAACAAACCACACAGAGTGAGTTCATTAATGGGGCATTAAGTGACTCATTGTTTCCTCTGTGAGTCGTTAGAGGGAACTAAAGCAGACGACCACGATTGCTAATTAAAGCAGATTAGATAGAAACTTTTAGGTGCGGCATCATGCAGATCCTGGAGCTGCAACAGCGGCTTTGCATTTAGCTTTCACTAGTTTTGGCTTGAGAATGAGGCTTTTTAGTCTTTGTAGCAGAACTTTTCCCGCTCGCTGCGTCGTCTGTGAAAATGCAAGTAAAAAAATGTTTGTATTTTTTTTTTTTGTTGTTTTTTTTTTTTTTTTTACTTTTCCCTCGTGAGACTTTAACAGCAGCTCCGTGTCGACACTCGAGGAGGTGACGACAGGCGGCCATTTTCCTTCTCAGCTTTCCTCTGTTGTTTGTTGAGTCAGCTGTTAACCTCACGTTTACGTCCTGATGTACTGACCCCACTGTCATGTGGTTAATTATATCGTCAGTTAATCACTCACCTGATTGACTGATTGAATGAATCAGCAATTATTTTCATAATCCATTAATCATTTTTTCAGAAAAAAACCCCAAACATCTTCTGATTCCAGCTTCTTCAATGTGAAGATTTACTGCTGATGGACTGTTGGTCATTTTATTCATGAGACAAGCTGCAGCTAATGATATCTGTCATTATTGATTATCTGCTGATTATGCTCAGAGCTGCAATAATATATGATAAATCTATAACTGGATCGGTAGAAAAATAAGCTTCAAACATTTTGATAATCGATCGATTGTTTGAGTCTTTTTTAAAGCAAAAATTAAGATTTTCTTTGTTTCTATCTTTGTAAACTGAAAACTTTTGTGTTTTAGACAAAACACGACACGAGAAGCCGTCACCTCAGATTCACATGGACGGATCATTTTCTCTTTTTTCAGGCATTTTATTGACTACATGATTAATTGAGAAAATAATAATCCAAAGCCATCTGCAGATTCCTCGATCATGAATATAATTGTTGCTTGCAGGTGGTTCTGTTTGATCAACAGTCACAAACTGAACAATATTCATCTTTTTATCATAGAAGGTAGAAAAAAAAAATCACATTTAAAGTTTGGAGCTGGTTTTTAAAAACAATTTATTGTTTACAAAATAGTTGCATATTAATTGTTTTTACAGCTGAAACAATTAGTCTATTAACTGAAAATGAAACAATTAGCAGATTAATGGATGATGAAAATGAGTGTGACACATTCACCCTACACACTGAATGATGTCATTGAAAGCAGCACGTTTCTTAAATCTGGATCTGAACCTCAGACACCGGACGGCGCCCCCTTCACTTTGTGTTTAACACTCCGTTGATTTACACACACTATTAATGTACCATTCACCTCCATTTCATCCCTACCTCTCTCACACACACACACACACACACACACACACACACACACACACACAAAACCGTGGACCAAGCTGCCGCTCTGTAGTTTTCTCCCTGAGCCGCCATCGACTGCAGCTTCTGTCAGTCGTTAGAGCGGGAAACTCAGCAGACAACGAGCAGCCGGGAGGAAGAGGAGGAGGTAGAGAGGACGGTGAAGCAGTGGATTTTCTTTATCTTTTAAATTTCAAGCCGTGCAGAGCGAAGACGGCGAGCCTCTGCAGCAGCAAATTGAAAATCTGCAGTGAACCGAGTCCAGACTGTCGCTGCTGCTATTGAGTTTCACACAGTGTTGAGTTGAACCTTCTTCACACCTCCAGGCTGCTGCTTCTCTGCTGAGTGTTCCTGCTTCACATCAGTGTTACAGCAAAAACACACAAACCAGAGCACGAGGCCAAGTCCACAAACATGTAGGTTTCAGTGTTTTTGAGACGCCGTAAAGAAGAAGTTTAGATTCATGTGTTGTTCTCAAACTACAGAAACTTAACACTAAGACACAGACACACACCTGTTCTCAGCTAGCCAGGAAGTTAACTGAGGAGGTGTGTTTTCAGAATAAAACTTGACCAAAGTGTTAAGGAAGCACTTGACATTAAAAATGGAGACTGGAAGTTAATGTCGCTCAGACTGAACAGTAACTCAAACTAAAATGCCCAAAAACTAAAAGTTAAAGATGAAAATTAGCTGTTTCCGCTCTCGTCGCTCACTCAGCTACAAACAGCACTTTCTCATTAATTTCAAAGTGTCACTGACTCAGTTATTTAAACCTCCAGAGGATCCACACACTCCTGTTAGTGACGAATCAGAGGAGGAGAGATGAAGATAACGAGCACTTTGTGAACACGAGCCGTTGTTTTATACAGGTACACTAATTACACTCGTTAATAAACTGGCAGTAATGAAGGAAAACAGGCTTATTAATTGTTAATGAAATCATTTCCCATTAGTGTACTGACAGTTTCAACACGAACAGAAACAGGTTTCGACTAATTAAATCCTTTTTTGTCTCAGTAGCAGAAATCTCATCTCCAAACACAAACCAGAGGAACGAATGTGACTTTGTTTCGTTCAAGATGAAAACTTTATTTTCAACACATCTGTGAGTTTGGGGTGAACACAAGTTAAACATGTTACTTCTTGACACAGTTTTAGCATCGTTTGTAAACGTGTATTATTACTTGATGGACTGTCGGTAATTTTCAGGACGGATTTCTTGAGAAAAATATTCTTAAGCCTTAACGTTGAAGATGAAAACCTTCAGAACTGAAGTAACATTTTTCTTTGACAACATCAACGTCCAAATGTTTTGCCAAAAATAAATAAATAAAAAATCATTTTGCAGCGTTTCGAAAGTAACTCCCCATTTTTTAATAACAACTAATAATCAAAATCAAGCTGAAGATAAAGTATCTGTTTATCCAAAATGAAAAATATATAAAGTTTAATGTCTGTTCCATAACATGGTTTCTTTAGTTCAAGTTTTTTTTTTAAAGAATGACTTATAAGGAAAATTTTAGATTTATTCGGCAGATTTTCTTTTATTAATGTTAACAATATTTACAATATTTATCTAGATGTTTGTTGTCATATCGATTAATCGCAAGTTTTCTGTTAGATAAATCACATAAATAATTTATGAAAAACACAACAAAGCAAATTATAAATGAAATATGGAAGAAAGAAAAGATGTTAGATGACAAAATGATATCAACATCAGCGGTTGTCTCTACGACGTAAAATGACGTGTAATCCCAAAATAGACACACAGATGTGTTGAAGATGAAGGAGGCGTGTCGTCTACACATTCCTCAGTTTCAGTAGAAAATAAAAGTGCAATAGTCTCGGTTTTGACAGGAGAAGTATCGACAGTAATTCAGTATAATTACCCAGAAAGTGGTTTAGTTTAACGTTCCCTCGTCTCACCTCACTCCGCATTATTGATGAAACATTCAAACAGCTGCAGAGGGAAGAAGATGAAATTAATGTGACATTTTCTTCCCATTTGTTCCATGTATTCATTTTATTTAAGTTTTATCTTTCAGTTGTATTTTATACTTTCATGTAAATTCATTTAGCTTTGTTTGTTTTATGTGTTGTTATTTTTTTTCCTGTCAAATTTCAAATGTACAATTTTTTTATAATGCCTTACAGGTGATGTAAATAAACTGTAAAAATGTTATTTCTTTTCATATAATGGCCACTAGTTAAATGTGTAAATAAATATCTCAGCAAACTGAATTTTGTCTGTCCTTGTCTGTCCTTTTGTCTGTTCAATTTTTAATTCTTAATTCAAGGGCCGCTTGAAAACTTTTTCCAGGTCCTTGAATAGATTTTTTAAGATGAATTTCATGTGACCTGTTGCCCAGGAAATCAAACCCTGACTCACAAAGAGAAGAAAAATGTCATTACAACAGGCTGATCACGGATTTATGCAATTATAAGGCTCGCACTATTGCCAAAAATGTCATGGTATAGTAAGGCATAAAAACGTCAAAATACATCATTGTATAGTAACGCATGAAAACTTCATAGCATATTAAGGCATACAAAAGTAAAAAAACATCATAGTAGGCCTATAGTAAGGCATAAAAACGTTAAAAAAATGACATAGCACAGTAAGGTTTAAAAAAGTCATAGTATAGTAAGGCCTGAAAACGTCATAGTATAGTGTGTCATAAAAAACATTGTAGGCATATAAAAGTCAAGAAACATCCTAGTAAAGTAAAGCATGAAAACGTTAAAAAATGTCAAACGTCATAGTAAAGTAAGGCCTGAAAATGTCAAAAAACTTCATTGTATAGTAAGTTATGAGAACGTCATACTATAGTAAGACATAAAAATTCATGAAAATGGCATAATATATTCAGGCATAAAAAGTCATAAAAGGTCATAGTATACTAAGTCTATTACGTGTAGTGTTGTGGTGTGTGTGTGTGCATTCCCTCTTCCCTCCCCTTTTCTCCAGCAGGTACAGCACGGCACGGCTGCCCTTGGTTTCGCCATAAGGAGCATAAAGGTGGCCTGGTAAGGGCTAAATTGGGCCATTCAGCGGTTCACAAGCTGTGTGACTGTTCTCCCAAAGATAGCTGCTCAGAGCTTTCGTGTTGAAACCTAGCAACATTGTTAATTTGTAGTAGTTGTTAATTTGGGTTAACTTGGTTTTAGTGCAGTTTTACTTTCCCCATGAGTTTTCCCATGTTGGCTTTTAATGGTAGTCTTTAATTGTTTGTGAATAAAATCCCATATTTTTACTGAATCTGTTTCCCTGATTTTTTTGTTTTGCCTGGTTAAGCATTTATATAGTATAGTAAGGCATAAAAACTCATAAAAACGTCATGGTATAATAACACATAAAAAGACAAAAAAACGTCATCGTATAGTAAGGCATAAAAAGACAAAAAAACGTCAAAGTATAGTCAGGCATAAAAAGACAAAAAAAACGACATAGTATAGTAAGGCATAAAAAGACATAAAAAACATCATAGAATAGTAAGGAATAAAAATGAGATAGTATAGTGAGGCATAAAAAGGCATAAAACAACAGGCTATATTAGGAACAAAAAAGAATTTTATAGTAAGGCATAAAAAGTAATTAAAACGACATAGTATAGTAAGGCATAAAAGCGACATAGTATAGTAAGGCATAAAAAGTGATAAAAACGACATAGTATAGTAAGGCATAAAAAGTGATAAGAACGACATGGTATAGTAAGGCATAAAAGCGACATAGTATAGTAAGGCAGAAAAAGACAAAAAAATGTCATAGTATAGTAAGGCATAAAAAGGCATAAAGAAAACATAGTTCAGTAAGGCATTAAAAGTA